GGTTGGGGTGAAAAGGAGCCGGGAGATGCATTGGCGAAGGGTGGGCAATGGCGATGCCCTTCTTTGCTCATCTGCGCCCAGCCAGCAATCTGTCCAGGGGATGAGGCAAGCAGAAAATGTAATCTCCTTTAATGGCCTGAGGCGCAGCGCCTTCCGTGTCTAGGGAAAAAATCCTCTGCTGAATCCGGCAGCTCCAGCCGCTGTTTCCTGGCTCTGTGAGAACTGTCCTCCTGCCCCTCCCAGACCCTCCCGCCTGGCCTGGGACCCTGCCCTGCCTTGCCCGTCCCCGCTTGGTGCCACTTGCTTCTGCCCCCTCCTTCTCAGCGGGGTCTCACGCTGTTCTCTCTGGGAATGTGGCTCGGCCTCAGGCAGGCAGGCTGGGCAGAGGAGGCGCCGCAGGGGGTCGGGGCTCGTCGGCTGCCTCTGGTTTCCCCCGGGCTGAACCCTTTTGCCCTCTCTTTGCAGGGAAGCGCCTGTGCCTGGGCGAGGGACTGGCCCGCATGGAGCTGTTCCTCTTCTTCACCGCCATCCTCCAGGCCTTCACTCTCACATCACCGGAGCCCCTGGGCGAGGTCAGCATCGTGCCCGATGCCAGTGGCGTCAGCCGGGTGCCCATGAGATACCAGATGTTGGTGCTGCCACGCCAATCTTGATAGCCTGCTTTCCGGCCACGTTTTGCCTCCCATCACACCCTCTTCAAATGCTGTGAGAGGTTCCCTTTAGCAGCGCACTTCATTGGCAGCAAATTCTTGGGACCAGCACCTGATGCCACTTTTCGCTCCCTCGAGGGCGTGGCTGCTGCCTCCCCCGACCATCGCCCCGGCTGTCAAAATCTGGGAAATGCTGCTCTGGGAACCGGCACCCGGAGCCCATTGGCCGTTTGGAGTCCAGAGCAGTTTCCTTTCCAAAGGGGCAACACAGCCGCTCCATATGTTTATGGGGGGGGGCTTTTCCCGCAGCCTGCAAATGCAAACAGTGCTTGGAATAAAATGTGCTAATTTCGACAAGGCTTTCCTGCCGATTTCTCTGTTTCGCCTTGCCCCCCTGGGGAGGGAGGGGGGAAGGCACGGCAGCCCACTCATGGGGAGGCAGGGCTGGAGGGGGAGGCAAAGAAAGGCGAAGGTGGGTGGGCTTTTGGTCTTCCCAGCCCGCCTTCTGAGCCATGGACAGGATGTTCGGCCCTTTCACTTTGAGAGGGTTCAGCAGCCACATTCCGTGGCTTCAGCGTCTCCGCCCTCCCTCGGTGCCTCAGGGGCTAAAACCGGCCAGCCCAGACAGCACAAAGGTGTGGCTAGCGGCAGCCGTTGGGTCCCGGTTTGGAAGCCAAGCCCTGTGATTCTTGGTAAACATGTCCAAAGACCGTCTGGAGGTTCAAATAGATGTGATGTTCTTGTACTGACTAAAGCAAGCCTGAAGCCAAGAAGAACTCTTTGATGATTGTGATTTAGCTTCAAAGATGGCAGAGCAACCAGGTACACACTGCAAAGGAACCCCAGCCAGCTCTTGCAGGTTCACTCCTGATCAAATCACACCGTAAGGGGGATCCGCCGCGTTACTCGTAACTGGGCCCCGTACGTGCCCTCTTCCTTTCAAACGCGCCGATGCCAAGTCTCTTTGCTGGTCGTTTGCAGCTGACCAGGCGGAGACCTTGGTGAAAAGCTTGAAGGACAGCTGGGGTGGGGGGAGAGAGGGGGCCAGGAAAGGGACATGATGTGAGTGATCGAGGTACCAGCGTTCCAAATACAAGAGAACTTCCCACTCCCACCCCTGGCGTTGTAGTTGCAAATGATCCACCGGGGATCCCAACTTCCACTAGAAGAGCAATGCTGGAGGATGCCCAGCGCCGGACCTTTTGGGGCACCCCAGAGGAGTTCCGGATGAAACCCAGCGCTGCAGAACCAGAAATTCCGATTTGCTGCTGCTGAGACTGAATTGCGATGCCACAAATGGCGGGGAAAGGAAGGGCTGGCCTGGCTCTAGGTCATCTTGCGCCAGCACCAATCTTAAATTCCACCTGTGGGCAGAGAGCCGTTTCACTGTGCCTCAGCTTCCATTTCAGGTTTGCAAAGAATGTTTATTCTTACATAAAACAGGTCAATATACAGAAGAGATTTTGCAAGCTTAACAAGATATATACCCGCCTGGTTTGGCAATTTGCGAGGAAAGAGGCGTGATTAAACTAGGATATCTGCTGACCCTCCTGCCTGTCCCAGAGATCAGCCTGCTCAAACGGATTGCACCTCCATCACCCCCGTAAGCAAGACCCAGGTTGGAGGAGGCTCCCGTGAATGCCGTGTGAGTTGTGGTCATCTCAGGCACCTTTCACAAGCTGAGCCCAATCTTCTAGTCCCGGCTGCAGAGGCGAACTTGTCTGGCTGGTCAAAAGAGATGCAGAGCCCCTTCAGAAGATGGTGAGAATGGGGGAGACCTGGGCCCAGGCATCTCCAGAGCGCCGCCGCGTGAACGCCCCAACGGCTGAAGCGAGTCTGCCTCAAGGTGCTGGAGGAAAGGGCTGTGACGGAGGGGCACAGTGGCAGGGTCCGGAGCACAGGAGGGACAGAATGCAGGGGACGGGGTGCCCGTAGGTGCCAGGCTCTCTGGAGATGGAGAGGCAGCTGCGGTGCTGTCAGCAAGAGAGCCATGGTTTTAGAGAGCTGGGGGGTCCTGCACCAAGGAGCTCCCCAGGAAGGCATTTGGCAGGGCGGGTGGGTGATCTGGAAGGAAACTCCTGCAGACCTTCAAGAGGGCCCCTTCCTCAGCGGGGGATGACAGAGATCTCATAGAGCCGTGGGATCGTGGCAAACCCCACCAACAAGGGGGAGATGTCGATGTCTTCAGGGGGGACAGCTGATTTGAAGCGGAAGTTCTGCAGGATGCTGGTGATGAAGAGGAAGAGCTCGGCACGGGCCAGACGCTCCCCAAAGCAGTAGCGCTTCCCTGCAAAGTACAAGAGCAGAGAGGCCAGTGGTCAGGAGAACCCCCGTTGCTGTCCACAAATGGGAGCCTGAACCTATCCATCCTTTTGGGTTGCAGCTGGGGGACCCTTGCCAGTCTCTTCCCAATTTGTACTGTGTGGATCGAGCTCATGACTGCTGTGGCTGAGTGGAAGGAGCCGTGGTGGCGCTTCTGGACAGCCCTCTGCATATGGAGGAGGGGCGGCAGGAAACAGGGGTGACCTCTGGGGGCCCCGTGGCCACACTTGGCCTTTGCGTGGGATGTCACAGGCGAGCCTCCAAAATGTAGCTGGGCCGGATGAACAAAGTGGCCGGGTTAGGTAAAATCTGAATTTAATCTCCTTTCATTTAGCCCTCCCTAAAATGGATTACACACGGACAATAGGTCTACTCCCTTGGGAGTGCCATGCGATTTCTGGCTTGAGAGATGGGGTGGAGGGGACTCACCAGTGGAGAAGGGCATGAACGCCTCGTTCTTCTTGAACTGCCCTTTCTCATCCAGGAAGTGCTGGGGGTCAAACTCCTCAGGTCTTGCAAAACGTTTGGGGTCCTTCATCACCGTTCCCAGCATGGGGAATACCTCCGTCCCCTGGGGGCATGAAATAAAGGAGGCATTTGTGGCTTTGAGGGGGATGGGAGCAATGATTCAACAGACGTGGAAGGCAGCCACCCTTGTGGACTGCAGTGGAGCTATAGCTGAAACATGGGAGCCAGAGGCCCCCCCGTTCCTTGGGGATGGTGTACCCTCGTAACTGGACATCTCGCGTGACGCGCCGTGGCAGCGCCAGGGGTAGCATGTCGCCAAATCTCTGTATCTCATGAATCACAGCTTCGGTGTAGGGCATCTGCGGCCGGTCCTCCATGCTGGGAATCCGATTCCGACCAATGACGCGGTCAATCTCCTCGTGCATCTTCTCTGGGGAGACATCAGAAAGATGACTTTGGACATGCCTGAGAATGACTAGGAGCCAGAGGAGGTCTGCTTCTGCCCGCCCAGCTCTGGGCCGGGGACACCAGCAGCTTCCCGAGGAGGTAGAAATGCCACCCAGCACCCAGGAGAACGAATAACGGGTTTGAACTTCACAGAGCTTGAGGGTTAGGAAAAAGGAGTGGCAAGAGCAACTCAAGGAGGACTCTCTTATGCAGAGAGGAGGAGGAGGGAGGCAGGGGCGTAAGCCAGGAGTGGGCAGCTACCTGGGGGCATTTCTTATAAATCCCTGAGTTGGCCCTGAAGATCTCAACTGCTGGTGTTCCAACCAGTGCCCTGATTTCCAGCTGGTGGTTTCTGTCCTCTGCTCCCCATCTCAGTTACCTTCCACCTCTGGGTACCTCAGCAGGATCAGGAACCCATAACGCAAAGTGGTGCTGACCGTTTCTGTACCGCCAAAGAAGATATTAAGCGTGGTTGCGACCAGTTCCTCCAGGGAGAAGAATGAGTCGGGATTTTTTTCTTCCTTGGTGGGAGAAAAAGGAAATGTTTCATCGGGCTTATCCCCCAAGTCAGCCTAATACCCACCAGGATTACAACTCCCTCCAACCCCCAGCCAGCACAGCCACCACCTTGAGTGCTCATCTACTTGGGAGTAACAGTCAAAATCGAATGGCCTAGTTCTTGCAGCTACTTCTGAGTGGCATCAGTTACACTTAGGAGGAGACCCGGAGCTCCAGGTGTTTCACAGCTGGCCTGATTTCTCCATGTCAGACTTCTCTAGAAGTCTGGAAAGCTGAACCTTGACTCTGCTGCCAGCGTGGGACCTTTGTTGACTTCAACTGTGGACCAGACCTTGACTGTGCTCTTTGCTGGTCGGGGCTCCTGCCCCGTTGGAGGGCAAGGATCTGGGGCAGTTCCTTTTTAAACGGGCTTGGATGGAGCACCTCCCAAGGGTTTGTAGCTGGCCCCCCTCAAGTCAGAGTGTGTGTGTGTGTGTGTGTGAATCATCCTGCTCCAGGGGCCAGTCCTATTAGCACGTCAAGCTGTCCCCCCTCTACCTGCAGAGTTTTCACCAGGAAGCAGTCAATGAAGTCCCGCGGGGAGTTGGGGTCCAGGGTCTCTCGGTTGGCCCGTGCCTTCTTGGCAACAAATTCCTTCAGCTCCAAAAGCTTCTTGAAAGTCCTTTGCTGTGGGCCAGGCAGGCGTTGTACGATTCCAAAGAAGATGTCCAAGAGCTGCGGGTTCAGATGGCCGGTTGGAGAAGGGAAGAAACGAGGGTTTGACTGGTAGAAGACCCCGGGCAAGTGCAGCGGAGGTGGGACGCGGGGTTGGCAGGGGCCTTGGGTGGGCCACTGACCCTTCCCCCTTCCCCTTCCCCCAGGCTATTGCTGCCTTCAGGTTCACCAGCGCTGAAAGAGACCCCAGACCAGCCCATCAACCCTCTGCGCGGGACGGGGAGAAGGCGCCTCTTCGGGTGGGTTTCAAGCTGCCACAGTCTGGGGGCGGCCCTGGCCCTGCCTCTCATTGTACGTTGCAAACAAGGCCCGAAAGCGGGCGCCTTGCCCCCTTCCGCAGAAAACGTTGAGGGCACTCGAATTAGGGAGGTCCACAGAACATCGTTGCCTCTCTGCAATGAGGACAGGAAACTCTTCCCCCCACCCCCCAGTGCCACGGGCTCCCGGCAGTGCCTTTCTCAAGGAGAAGCAGCAGAAGAGGGTACCTGTCCCTGGGCCGTGCTGGTGAAGCGAAAGGTTTCAATCATTGCAGTCAGCAAAGAGAGGAACTCCTTGTCTTCGTAGTCAAAGCGGTTGCCGAAGGCGATGATGACGTTGGACACTGAGCGGCTGAGGAAGTAGGTGGGGTCGAAGGGGGCTCCTGGGGGAAAGAGAAGGCTCCCTTGAGGCTGGGAACGCAGCGCATTGGATCTTGGGGCTTGCGGTTCCCATGGCCTTCGCTGGCCACGCGTGTGCCATTTTCCTGCTTCCCCCAACCCCCCCCAAATGCCTCTTGGGGTCCAGAGATCCTCCTGCCTTTTGTGCTCCTCAGGGCTTC